CGTAAGCACCGTCAAAATCACTCATTGTTTAGTTTGGTTGCTTCTGTGTCTCTTTAAAGCCAGCAGACCAAACAGCTGAACAGTGCCCTGCAGGCCAAGGAGCTCTGTGTGTTGTGCCCACAAACAGGGCAAAACAAATGGGCCTTCTTATGACAAAGTGAAGTGCTGAAATAATTTTCTGTGGCCTTTACTCTTAAACCCAGATGAGTGCTTCCATTGGAGTCTCTCAAAATTAGCTAAATTGTGAGGCAGTTTGACCTTGTCTGCAAAACAGTGAGCCAAGCTGGCCTGCTGGTTCTCCCAGCAGTTTCTCATTACAGGGACGCAACTGACCTGCTCCCATTGTGGCTAATGCAGCTACTTAAGACATGCAACTCAAACAACCTCACTTCAAAAACAACTTGCTGTCTTTTTACCATGTGTTTTTCCTGAGGAGACTATAAACAAAAGCCCCTCCTACCTGTGTGATATTCAGTCTTCTGTAAAATACTGACATGGTGATGGATATGAGAGGCATTAGAATAACTGTACAGAAAAAGTTAGTCACCTGTTGATGTGGTCTGTTTTTGCAGATCATAATGAGGCATCAGCATGTATCATTTATAATCACATAATCAAGATAGTCTGCTTTACAGCCAGCTAAACCCCTACACAATATGTTTAAAAGGCTGTGACGAAGAGTGGTGCAGAGGGATTCGGAGCGGGCAGGAAGAAGTGACCTCAACAACAGGAAAAATTAAAACCAGCACCTTCCCACATGTTTATGCTGAGATGTGGGTGTGTTTATATACTGTTCATTCTTAGGGTTATAGCTGCTGTGAAACAATAAGAAAGCATCCTTTATATCTCAGCTTCACCTCTTTCTTTGTTTTATAGGCACTTCTCCTTTTCTTTCATGTCATGTTAATCAACCACTCTCTCTCTCTCTCTCTCTCTCATTACCTTGTATGATAGTATAGTACAGTACAAACACAGTATTACAGTCCTGACTGAAGCAACGAAATGGAATCAAGCCAGTATTAGTTTTATCATTTCAACCCATGTGAATGTCCCACCTGTGACACAACAAATCACTTAAGGAAAAAGGTTGATTTAAACATGACAAATGACAAAATTAACACTCACAAGGTGTTTGTTGTTCTGAGGTAGACGTATAATGATCCCAGCTCTGTGTCTACACCATTGATCTGAAAGTGGAGCTGCAAGCGTCTTGCCTGGTTCAGCAGGGCCAAAAGGCCCCTGGTCCTGCGAGTTGTTTGTGTGTCACAGTGATTAATTGATGAGCCTTCTTGTATAATTGGCCCGAGACCAGGAAGTCATCCGACTTTGGTTACATCAATCTTGATCTCTCATCTTAAACTGTCCCCGTTGTTGTGATGCATTACCTCAGGTAGCACTTCACCTGTTCATTAATCGAGCTTGAGGACGTTTGTATTGGATTTAACAGCTCAGTACAGCCCAGACTTGTTGAAGCACTTTCAACAGAAGAAGAAAAAACAATTGTATTTCACAGTTAGCTTTTAATTGAAATAATTTAAATGACTTTGAATGAAAATCAAAAGCCCAGTAGACATTTTGCTGGACATAGGAAGACTTCTACAGAGGTCAAAGGTTTTCCCAGTCATCCCTTTAAGAGAAATACCTCGGATGTTGAGCATTGGTGCTAAAATCAAACAACAGAAATTAAATAATTGAAAGCTGAGACAAAAACCTTATTTTGTCCTTCAATAGTTATTTCATTATAGAACTCTAATAAAAACAGATAAATGTTGATTGCTTTATTCTATCAAAAAGAGTTGGTACAAAAATAAGCAGGTTCCTTTCAAGCCTGGCTGCTCCTTATCTACAGGTATTTATTTTAACATTAATATGCTTTTTACACGATCAACTTTTAATTAATCTGAAACACTTATTTCTGGGTTTCTTTCTGAGGGGCTTAGGTGGAAAATATCAAAGCTGAAACAATCTCTAAAAAAATGCTCCAGTAGAAATGACTGAACTATGTGTTTTGGTGATGCAGCATAGACCGCCTTTTGCACCACTGAAATTAAGTGAGTAGGCGCAGAGGTGTCACAAATCAGTTTGTAAAACCTTCCTAGAAGGCAGTGAGCATAATAAATATTTAAGGTTGGGAAAAGGAATCATACTTTTAGTTAAGAAAGTTCCTTATATATTATTATACCCATCATTTTTCTACAAAAATTCAACATGTAACAGAGAAGAGTCAAGCATACCATCAAATTCAAATGTTAGGAAATATTGGTCATTGTGACCAAGATAACAACCATTTTATGGTTCTCCTCTTTGTGTTCCTGTTGAGAATTTTCTGCTCCATATCCTCTATTTGTCTTTTTTTTTTAAATAAATCTTTTATATGATAAACCTAACTAAAATATTTTCAAAAAGAAAGGACATCCATGTTTTATTAAGGTATTAAACAAACTTGGAAAAAAAAACGTTTTCTTTGTCACATAACGTAAAAATATTGAAGTATAATCAATAAATTCGGACTAGACAGCTGAGCAAGGTGTTTATGTTTAAATGCTGCCGCCCATAGCAGTATTTTGTTCCTAAAATCAATACTTTTGTCACATTGAATTCACTTAATATGATCGGTAGATTTGTTCTAAACTTTGGATTTAGGGGGATTTTGATTTTCTCTGTGGAATACTTTTAAAAACAGGGGTGTGCAATATTGGCAGAAAATAGTATTTCAATGTTTTTCTTATGAAGATTATTAAAATTAATTTGCATCCCTCAAAAACTGAAAAACAAAATGGGTTTGTAAAAGTCTTGTAATAGCTTGCTCTCGTTGAATACATGATCAAATATTGAATGCATTTCCCTTTTGATTTCATTTACATTAAATTATGTTATCTGCCCATTATTTTATTATTGTTGTTATTAGTTGTTTGAGTGAATATCCTATGTTCTGTAGTTCATTTATGTTTTAAAACAAATTATATTATCTCTTCTCACTTTTCTACACACACACACACACACACACACACACACACACACACACACACACACACACACACACACACACACACACACACACACACACACACAGTGTAGCTTCAGCTTTCCTCTCCTCTCGTTCCCAACTCACCCCCTTGTCCCTGTCTGCCTTTGCTGCATCTGATATTCTGACAAAATTGTTCAGCAGCATTTTTTGTGAGAACATCCAAAAGACACAACCCACATTTGATAACCTCTATCTTAATGGTCTGGTGTCACAAAAGATAATCTGACTGTTAATGGCGTAGCATTTCACAACAATCCAAAATAACAGTGCGGAATGACATTGGCAGTAACCAGTTGCACATCATTTCAAACAGAAGTACAGATTTCATAATTAACATGGGACACAACTCCTTAATCCAAGCATTAGCAGTTGGGAAGAATTGAAGGACTGTTCTCCCTCACAGTGCCTCTGCCAGGCACTGCATGTGAACAGATAGCAGTTACTCATTGATAATAAATGGTGAACTTACACTGATTTAGAAAAGAAAAGAAAGATCATGTAAAATTTGCTGACGATAATACTTAGGCTTCCAACATATACAGGGGCGTACCTCCCAGGTATTGTTTTGCATAGTAAATACTGGACTCTACAGGATTTAATTGATTTTTGCAAAATGAGTGACTCTTTTTGCAAATTGTTAAAATAAGAATCAAGATATTGTCTTTGATGAGTAATATTGCACACCCCTACTGAAATGATTTAAGAAATCATCTTAATACTTATTAGGGTTCTTTCCGCAAGTTTCTCAGAATCATACACAACTGGTCCTGGAAGATAATCTTTGAACTTCAGTCAGAGCTACACATCACAACTTTGGTATCATATCTCAGAAATCAAAACACAAAAGGGCTTCTTTTCCTCAAACTTGTCTTGCTTGTAGTCTGTGTATCCAGAATTATAGTTATGCATGACCAGATCTAGACGAGTGAATAATTGTGAACAGGCTTACTTAACATTCAAGAAGAGGGCACCTAAAAGTTTATTGCTTCCACTCAGACCCCAGTCTTTGAGTTGTTTATATGTTCATATTGCTTTAATGTATTTACCTATCTGTGCAATGTGATGTTTTTAAATACCAAATGAACCAAAATAAGAAGAGAAGAAGGAGGGGTCTATTTACTTTTGTTTAACCCCTGCTTAATATCCGTCTATAGTAATAACAGTGATAAGAGGTTTGAGCCAAGCTTGGGGTTGTACAGAGGCGTGGGCAGGTATCAGATTGTGACAGTATTATAACCGCAATCAAAAATATTGTGGTTTCATTATATTTGAGTATTACCGCTTCTACAACTCGGAAATGTGTTATTTTGAAATCTCTTGATCTTTGGGGGAAAAAAAGATTATGATTGGTTGGCAGGAGCAGGAATACTGGCATCCACTTTGTCAAACAGTAGGCTAACAGGCTTGTAGCCAGAGCTGATGAGACACTAAAGAAACAGTCTGTCTGTGCCGAAAAGGACCTTGAATCAATTCTTTTTGTCCTCACATGCTTCTTATTATGCTTTCACCTCCTTGGGCACAGCTCTACAAAAAGCTAAACAGACTTAGGTAGCATGCAAGCTAACTATGACTGGCTAGCTAACTAATACATTACCTCACAGTTGCTCTGCTACAAGCACATTTGAACCAGCATGGTGGAAAGTTTAAGTGGTTTTGAAACAGTGACTCTAAAAATTGCAGTATACTTTGAAAAAAAAATAACCAGCCCATGCCCATTGTACACGTTTAATTTTCCTTCACTTGTATGGTACTGAGATACTGTTGTGTCTGGTCATTTTCCCCTAATTTAGCTTAAATGTAACGGGGGTAAAGTTTGAAACAGAGTTGAATGAATGAATGTATCTGAATCTGTATCTACTATTTACTTCAGACAATGAAAATGCACAGCTACTGTAAACTGGATAAAATGCTTGACACCATTATTGGAAACATGCGAGGTGTTATATTTGAAATACATTGCTATCTCAAAAGCTGCCTTTGGACTTCATCTTGACCATATGAATGTTATACAGTCAAAGAAAAACATGAAGGATTTTTCTCATTTTTGCATTCTCATTGTCTATAATTAAAGATGAAGTCTGCTTTTGTCTTAAATAATTAAACTCTTGTCAGAAGAAATTAATATGGAATTAAGATAATGTATTCTTTCAATATTAATTATTTTTTGTAAGTGTCAGGTACAGATAAAAGCAATGCTTTACACTTTTTCGTCTCCCACTGTACTCAACAGATTTTCTGTCCACTGTTTGGGTTCAAAATATGCATAGATTTTTTGTCATCAAAGAGGACCAACATCCTTTGTATATGGTTATGTTATGTCACTATGTTACAATCCTAATTTCCATACAGAGTGGAAAAAAACTTGTTATTGACTGTCAACATACAAGTTCTAGCCTTAATTTGATGGGAAATATTTTGAGTTATTCAAAAGTAAATGTACTCTAAAATGTGCATTTCTTGATGTGATACAGAAAAACCTGGTTATTGCCATCAGTATCTTGCAAAACAATATTTTGTGAATGTTGTCAACCAAGAATTACGCTGTAGTTTTCTACCAAACAACTTAACTATTTGCTCATGGATTATTTGTCAGTAAAGTGAAGGTAAATAATTACATTGGTGGCTTGATGGGTGTGTGTAATGTAAGGGTAAATATTAGGCATTAAAGGAGGATTATGGGTGTTAACACAAATTTGTCACTAAAGAAAAAAAACTGTCTTGTGCGCTTATAGTGCAATACATTTGCCTGCTCTTACTACATAATTAGTTGCTGGGCTTTACACCCGTTTGAAAATAAAGGGTCGAATTTTGTTCTCAGTGGCTCATGATTAGATGTTTTGTCATGGCTCATTGCATCTGAATGCTGCAGTGCACAAATTTCACCGTGTCACTGAACGCCTGTCCAGCAAATTACAGCAATGCAAGGAGAGCTAAAGGGAAGGCTTGTAACACTATTATTCGTGCCCAAGAACAAGTTAAAATGACAAATTCTGTTTTTCAGAGGTGTTTTTAAAAAGTGATACTGCACACAAAATATAACTTACCATAACTTAACCAAGCAATGTATTTACACCTAAGACTTGAAGTTTCAATCATCAGAATTTTTTTTTGAATGCACTTTTGCTGGACACTCACATCTTAAAACAACCATGTGAAAAAAGATTCAAGTTTCCATTAAGGAAGAAGGTCTTTCTCTAGCCTTTTCCTTGATTGAAGACATTCTGTACCACATTTCTGTAAGCTGTGCACTGTGTCCCATTCCTTGCAGTTAATGCATTATGTTAATAATGCTGTGTTACTTTTCCAATCTGTCTTTGTTGTCAGCTTTTTCTATGGCACTTTGCATTGTTCTGCATTTTTACCCTTGGTTAAAGTTTTTTAAATGACCATGGGTCAATGGATAGATGTCATATTTCTGATTCTCTACGATAGGACCTTTGATCCAGGGATCTTGTGGCCTGTAGACGTTCAAACTCATGCCGGCTGTTCCGATCTGGGCTTAGGTTCGCTAGTGCCCTGCCTCCACTACCTACATCCCCCTCCTCTTCTTCACGGTTTAGGAAAGCAAGTTCATTTTCATAGCAGAAAGAGTTGGAGCTGGGAACTAAGAACTTGTTTTCCACCATGTCCTTGGCACTGCAGCGAGGGGTGGACGGCACCTCATAGGTTTTGTGAAAGTGAGAATAATCCACTTTGTACACGTTCTTCTCCTCAAACAAAACTGGCTCAAAACGGTGTCCCCAAAGGATCTCGGAGGCCAAATAAGAGCTGCGAGCCTGTGTGGTCATGGCAGTTGCTTCTACCATTCCCTCCAAGATGACAACAATCTCAAAGTCTGCTGTTTCCAAGTCCTGTTTGCCAATCCCAAACAGGGGGCTTTCTTCATCTATCTCATGAAGAATAGTGATGGGGGAAACCAAGAAAATCCTGTCCAGGCCTTTATCAAAACCAACATTTATGTCTATTTGGTCGAGAGGAATATATTCCCCTTCATCTGTGATCCGAGGTTTAATGAGCTGGGCCCTGACATGAGCCTCAACAATGTGGCTCTTGCGTAGGTTCCCTACCCTCCACATGAGACACAGCTTTCCGTCCCGCATGGCAATGACTGCATTGTGGCTAAACAACAGTGTTTGTGCTCGCTTCTTAGGCCTTGCCATCTTGGCCATGATGGCCCCGATCATGAAGCAGTCAATGATGCAGCCCACTATAGACTGAAAGACCACCATGAAGACAGCCACTGGACACTCTTCAGTCACACAGCGGTAGCCGTAACCAATGGTTGACTGTGTTTCAATGGAGAATAGAAAGGCAGCCACAAATCCATTGACTTGTAGGACACATGGAGTAAAGTTGTCATCTCCAGCTGGGTTATCCAAATCTCCATGCAGCAAAGCAATGACCCAAAAGGCCAAACCGAAGGCAAGCCATGAGACAACAAACACAAGGGTGAAGACTACCAGCATCCATCGCCAGCGAATGTCAACACATGTGGTGAAGATGTCCGCCATGTAGCGCTGTGACTTCTCATCCATGTTGGCAAACTGCACATTGCACTGGCCATTCTTTTTGACGAAGCGATTGCGGCACTTGCGCCGTGTGTGTATCTTGCCATTGCCAAAGCCATTCATGCCATGCATGGTAGTGAGGCGGAGGGCCTCTTCCTCTGATGACACAATGCTGTAGCGGTTGATCCTTCCAACACTCATGTTCCCAGCGGCGCCTCCAGCTGCAGGGTCAGGGCAGAAGGGCCGGCCTAGTGTCTCAGTGTGTGATCAAGGCCCCTCACTGCTTGATCACTGGCTAAGCTGCATTTTCGTGAGTCATAGGCAGGGAGCTGGGTGGGAGCCTCGTTCTTCAATCCAGTCCCTGTAGAAAGTGTCAGGGGAGAATAATATGAGCCTCTTCGGTGACATAATGGTTAAATCATATCATACCTGTGTATGAAACAACACCAGATAACCAACTATAAAAGCTCTGGCAAAAAAAAAATACTTACATAAGAAACACTCAAATAGTAGTTTTGCTGCTGGCCTTAAAAGAAGACCACTGGTATTAATAGAACAGAGCACTGGATGAGCTGTCTGTGTTGGAGAGCAAATGACCAACTCAACATTAGCACATACAGTATTTTTTTCACTTGCTCAGAGTAACAATCTGTTATCTAGTTAGATAATCAAAATGTTGCTTCATTTATTCACCTGATGCTGGTTTTTTTATGTATGGCGTGTGACATCTATTTCCAAGAGTGTGTCAATAGATTAGATAACTATATTTATATGCTGGCTTTTCTATCAGAGGTGAGATATTTTTTTACTGTTTTTATTAAGGCACAGTCATTTCTGAAATCTGCTTCCTTCTGGGTTTGTCCGGTAATTAAAAATGATTTTAACAGGGACCTATAGAAATCATAACAGTTTGTCCAGCATTAAGGGGCGCATCAGCATTAGGGTTTATAAAGAAGGAATGTCTTTATGTTCTCCAAGTGTTTGTACTTCTGTCAGACAACTAACCAGAATGTTTTTCTCTTCATTAACTTCACACTCTGTGCTTGGCATCTTGCTTTGCTTGTTGATTATCACGACTCTAATTCAACTGGCCTTCACTGAAGGGTCCTCGTGTCTTATGATGTCTGCTGGGTAACAGAAGAGCTAACCTCGCTACAGAGCCACATCTGTCACATTACATCTCATGCTCTTCCCTTTCAAATTTAAAAAGGAGATTGACTATGGAGATAGCGTTACTCATCACCAACTAGTTATTTATTATCATGTGATCACATTGAGTCACAACTCATAATTTGGTAGGTGTTATGAAAATATTCGAGTGTTTCTGTGATAGCTGACACATGTTAGCTTTCAGCACATTTTGAGAGTATTTAGAGTTGTCCCACAATATGATCTGCAGATCACACTTAAAACAGACAAGCTGTGTTTCCTCTGTCTGTTCTGTTAACTGTTGTCATATCACCACAACAGGGACATACCAACAATGGTCATTGGGGAAGTGTGCCTGAACTACAGATGCTGTTGTCAAAGATGGAGAGAGAAGGGTTCTATGTGTCTGACCTCTTCTGTACAGTTTGTATAGAGGTAAGTCTCATGAAAGAATAAACCCCATAAATTAAATGTAATTTTTTGTGAAATATAACAAAATAGTTGTCGGATTATGTCCCCGGTCAGGCAGCAGATAGCTTGGGCACTTCACTGGATGTTCAGCCTCGTGGTCAAAGAGCCTTACGCACGGGAACTAAGCTGAGTTCCCTCTGGATGCACTGCAGTCACCTTGTATCGCCTGGACACATCCATTCTGTGTCTGACTGTCTGATTTGGACCCTAAGGATTTGACAGTTCCCTCATGGGGGCCCCCCAAATCCTGCATGCCCAGCTGTCTGCACTTCACCGACACGCCAATACTGTCCTTGCACACAGGCTTACAGGTGCAAGTTCTCCTGAAACTGAGCCTGAATACCACATTCATGGGGCCTTTGTACATCAATTGACGTTATCCCACACTCTGTGTTTTTGAATTTTATTTCTCTATGTTGTAGCACATCTTTTCATTTGTAAAAAAAAAAAAAGTTATAGGTGTGAGTGAACAAGATTTCAAGAATTCAATGAGAAAATCAACAACATTGCAGTTTTGACAAGCTGACAGGCTGTAGCTCACATGCATGGTGGTTGTTAGGTGCCTCAGGTTCTACAAGCCACTTGTAACTTAGGTGACACCCTAAATGTAGCAGCTCAGAAGTTTACAGCCCCACAACTTCATCATACAGCATGTAAATAGATTGTCTCATTGCAAATCTCTGGGCCTGTCTGGGTTTAGTCCTCCAAGAAGTCTCCTCAACAAAACCATTCATAACCTGCTGATTCTGAAAATTACATTTCAGTTTCATTCAATTCCAGAGCATTACACACTTGAATCACAATTTATTCACAAATTCAGTGATTTTTGTATTTACTAGTGTATCTTGTTTGTTTTGCTTGGGCCACATGATGTTTTCTAAATCTCAGCTAACAGTGATAAAAAGTTCAGCTGTTAAGACTGAAAAAAGTGAGCCTGTCTCTCCTTTAAAAGACTTTTGAAGAAAAGTCAACTAGAATACATTTGGCTCTTTCTTTTTGTATTTCGTTTATGATGACAAAAAAGCCCTATTCATGCGATGTGGTCTATCTGTGTAGCTGCACACAGACTTGGCTGTACAACTTTATAACTACGTCAACTGTGTTACATAATTGAGATGAATCTTGAGCCAGAGTGTCATCTCAACATTTCCCACTATACAATCATCTTGGTTCCTACAGCACTCACATGACCCAGGCAGGCATGCATGGCGCTCATTCTACATATTACATAGTAGTTGTACAGTGTCAGGTGTCCAGTGAATTGGTCTAATGAAAGTAAAAACCACCCCTCTGTCTGTGGAGTCATTAGAGAAGTGCCTTTGAGTCTCAGTCCACGCAGGAAGCCTTTCCTATAGGTACACAGAAGGATGTTCAAATCAAATCATCCCTCTGTGAGACCATAGATGTAAGGTTTTTCTGCCTTTATTTGGAGGATAGGACAGTGGAAAGAGTAGGAAATGGGGAGAGAGTGGGAAACGATACATGGGAAAGGAGCAGGCTTGGATCAAACTAACCATAAGACATAACCTCTGTGGAAGAAGAGCGTCTTCACCACCAGGCCAGCAGTGCCTCATAAGTTTTTTAACTGGTTGTGAAGTTAGGACCCCCTCTTTTACCCACAAAGGCTATCAAGAAAAAAAGATTTTACAAATTCTATATTTTCATTTCCAATGACTGCGACTGCTGCAAGCAGGTAGGTGTCAGATGAGACAGTTTACGGTAAAGTGAAGGACAACCCCTAACCAGATACAAGAAAGTATACATGTGGTGGAGAACATCATAGGCTAACTAGTAGTATCACTTTTAATACAAAGGGTGCCAAAATCAACTCTAACAACAAGTCCCTAACAGGAGCTTTAAAATAAGGGGGCATTTTGTTGTTTATGTAGTCAGACAGTTTGTTAATTAGAAAACATGAACCATTTTAATCTTGTTGCTGCCATTAAAAGTGTGTAGATACACTTGTTGTCCAGAGTTAGTCCTTCCGGTTTAAGCCGAAAACTGAAAGTGGGTTTAACATCTGTGTTTTAAATTTTGCAGATGACTCCACCTATTTGATTAAATTAGAATTAAGATCAAGGGGCTGTTCATAGAGGACAAACATGCAAATCTTGATCTATAAGCACTGTTATCAAGAGTGCAGAGGAGGGCCATTAGTGGTGTCTTGTTATATTTATATTGTTAGCTTGTCTCACAGTTCAAATACTTTGACATGAGTGTACATCACTAGTAGAGGATCATCTTTGATTCATTAGGCAGGACACGGAGAAAGATTTGTGCCACACTCAATACTGTCATGTATGACCTTTTGTGACCTAGCCTGCCGCGTGTGTGTTCTCAGGGAGTTAAGAGTGGCAGCCAGGGGGGATGATAAGCTCACAGCTGATTAGGATGAATGAGCTGAATAATTAGATGCTCAAAATAATGGAAGGGACCGTAAGGAACAACAAGGTAGTGCTGGAGAGGGTACTTCATCTCAAGACAAGCATGGAGAAAACTGAGCCCAACCACTAGGATCTGGACCCACCTCCCAAGGCCATTGTGAAGGAAGAGCTGAGGCTCAGGTGACATTGTATTTTCCTATAGCTCACCATGTGGAACTCATCCTGTCTCAAGTGACCTGCTTGTATTTTCCTATGGAGAGTAACACCCCCTTACTATTCAGACATGTCTGATTGACAGTTTAGTTCACAGACTGGATCGCAGCTCTTTCTGTTGTTCTTACATGTAACAGAATAAGTAAACTGTGTCATTTCAGTGGCTGTAAATATTGGATAATGGGAAACAGATACTACTACAAGTTAGAACCACATATCCAAATCTTCAGGCTGTTCACTAAATATTAAGGGCCATATCTTGTTCCAAGATAAGTTGATTGTTGCGCTAAGAGAACATGAAAAATGCTCGGAAAAATCACTGTCACCTTTTTTTTTTTACTGATATAACAGATGGTTATTCAATGCTTCTCCAAAATCTGTATGGGGGTTTTTGTGTCTGTTTTTTTCTTTTTCCTTTTTTGTGTGTGCTGCACCTGTACCTTGTCCACTGTTCAAACACCTGGTTCCCATTGATTGATCATTCCTCATGGGCTGTTTTGATCCTTATTTGTGCAGTTTTTTTAATTACTTGAATCTCTTTACAAAGGCTGAAACACCAATATCAAACTGAACTCCAATTGTAAGTGACATCTGTTGATTAGGTAACAAAACCTTTAGTTTGTTATTTTTAATTTAGCACATTTGGTCCTAGAAAAAACATTTACTTAGAGCGCATATTTGTGATTTATTGTACCATTTGTGTTTTTCAGTTTGCTCCACTGCATCTCTTTCAAATAACAAAACTAAATCAAGCTGAGATGAAAAGCAACACGATGTCATTGTATGATCATACAAGGCTGCATAGTCTTCATCCTCTTCACCTATTCCTTTTTTTTTATCTTTTTACACAAAAACTGAAAAGAGCGATACCAGAAGCAACACAACTATCCATTACTTGCTCATGTCTGTCCCGAAGCATTATTAAGCGATTACAGTTAGTTATCTGTTATAACGCTCACAGAACATAAGGTGCTGAAAAAGATCTCCAGTGGTAACCAGTAAAGTGATGATCGAGTTGTTTGCTGAGGTTACAGTGAGAGGTGTAAAGGGATTTTGACTGTCTGCTAATTACGCTTCTGTTTACGCCTCTTCGAATGATCATTATGAGTTGATTATGATATAATTGATAGGTTGATTACATTTTGTCGAGAAATAATGTAAAAAGCAAAACGAAAAATCCCATAAAAGTTTAAAGGTTAATGTCTAAATCGCTTCACAGCATATCAAAATAAAAACATTTATAGGCATAAAAGCAGCTCCTCAGAGTTAATGTTTGCATTTTAACCTTTTTTAAGATTCCTCCAAATTGCATATATATTATAAAGAGAAATTAACTCTGCTGTCGATTGAGACTATGTTCAAATAAATCTCGTGTTATTCTAAAATCAATTGGCTGTCAACAGAGGTGAACTTTTGGTCAAACTTGTTACAATCAAATGTCACCTTTGCTGCCTTCGAGCTACATTTTCATTTGTTGGTTGTTTGAGGCTGGTTGCCTTTGAACATAACATCCTGATCCTGAAAGCAAGGCCTTGTTTATCATTCAAACATCTATGTTAAAAGCTGAATAATAAATCCTGCAAGGGAAGGATTCACACGTTTTGAACGCGATGTATCGTACCTCTTTCTGCAGGAAATCTGTAGTAAAGCTGTTAATGGTGTAAGTGTGTAATTAGTAACACATCGATTGCCTTTTTCGACTTCACACAATAGCAGAGTGTGTTTGAAACGTGGGTACAATACTAGAGTAATGACTCTCAAGTGTTTATAGTGTTTACATGTGTAATCCCAGGAACTATTGAGGATTTAGCCTGTTTGACCAGGGCTACACTTTCTGGGGACAGCTTGTTCTTGGACCAATAGAATTAGTTCTTATGTGTTAATTTATCTGGAAAGTAAGACGGCTAATTCACTCTGATATTTGACAGATTTTATGCAATGTTTCTAAATACCTTTAGAATTTATTTCAGTCTATGACATTCTTACATATCTGAGTGACTTTAACAGGATGTCTTTAAATGTGCTTTGAGGGGAAGCTCAACAGTAGACAAGCCAGCCAGTGCCACTTTTCTATCACTTCTAACCAGTGGTGGGACAAACACTGATGTGACATTTAGACCATGAATCATAGACAAAGTTTTCTTGTCTTCCCTTACCTTTCTGTGTGTCCTCCACCAGACTCAAGACATGAAAGGGGGATTCGTTGTCTCCCAGTGTACAGGTTAACCAAACTGAGGCATTCTCTGCATCTGCCCCTACAGCTGCCCCTCCTCAGTGTGTTACTCTTACACTGGAGATAACCACTCCATCATCTTCAACAGAAGGCACAGACCCTCTTTGAATTTCTTCATCCTGGCTTGATCCTTTTCCTCTCAGTTTTCCAGGCGCTGATGCAGGCAGAGATAAAACGCACTTCTGTCCAGGCTGAATCCCACTTGACCCTCGTACCAAGACAGTCAGTCAGTCAGTCAGTGCTGGACGTGCAAAACAGGTACTACGCTTTTGACATGATTATCCCAGTGAAAATTCAGGTTTTGGTATGTCCATCTTCAGAGAGAATTTCTCTCACTGGTCTTCTGCTTATCCTGAAGAACATCCTCCTAATTCAATAAAGGTGAACAATACTCCCTCAAAAGCGATTAACTAAACAGCTTGCTTTATCAATCTTTTGCAATCTGATCTAGCTGGACTGTTGGTCTCTCCCCCTCTTCTCTCTCTCTCTCTCTCTCTTTCTCTCTCTTTCTCTATCTCTCTTTCTCACACTCACACTCTCTCTCCCTCTGACTATTTCTTTGCTTTCTCCTCTCTGGCTCTCCCTCCCTCCCTCCCTCCCTCCCCTGGTGTCACAGAAACTGCCATTTGCAGCCTCCCTCTCTCTATTTTCTCCTCCTCCTCTCTCTCTCTCTCTCTCTCTCTCTCCCTCTCCCTCCTCCCCTCCATCCCTGGCACTACCAGTTGACAGCAAGTTGATGCACAAACGTATCATTCAGAAAACTCCAGCAGACAATCCACCATTGTGGATCAGATGTTAATCAAGAGTAAATGGAAGCTTTATTATGAAGATAAAAAGCTTTTATTAAGACTTTCTACATCCAAATTAACAGCCTGGAGATGGCTGTCTGTTTCGCATGTGCCCATCTGCTCTGAGATGAATTGTTCTTCTCTTAGCGTTTTGGTTTAGAGTTGAAAGAGCGGATTAATCACCGGTTATCTGTTGAAACCCAAATGGCTTCAGCATCAGGTGACAAAGTTGGCTGGATAGTTGAGACATGACTTTAGCCCACATTAGTCTGGTGTGGTTGTGAAAGATTTCATGTGCATCAATATAATGTAGTGCTCACAGTGTCACGGTGCTGCAGAGTGATGCCCTTCACACCTGTCGCCAACATCTAATCAACAATATTTGACACGGGGAAGGGGTGGGGGGTCTGCGTGTCCTGTGTCAGAGGAATTGAAACTAACTCTATTAGTCAGTGGCTTTATTTCATGGTCTTTGAGGGGAACATCTCCTAAAAGCTTCGTTCACTTTATCCCCACAGGACTGTTATCCTCAAGAGGCTTGAGGTGTGACTTTTCCCTCATCACTGTAAACACTGTTTTTTTGGGGGTTTTTTTGCCTTCAGGTGTTTTTGGGAGCAAGCTGCAGCTTTTACTCTGCCCCCCTTACAGTCTAGTACTCTACCTTCACCCTTGACAGCTACAAAGTGTGACATTATTCTCACAGCTGAGCACCTGCTCTCTTTTTCTCACGTCCTCTCCGAGAGCAAGTCATCAGTCAGATACTAAAAGAGATGACAATTAGTACGGGGAGGGGTGTGGGGTGTGGGGTAGGGGGGGGTGAAAGAGTGAGAAGTTTCTAAATACAGCCATACTGGCTCAGCCCCAGCTTTATCAGGAATGATTCATCAGTGTAGGAACCCTCTCTCTCTCTGTCTCTCTCTCTTTTCCTTTCCTCTTCCCTCTCTCTCTCACTCTGTGCTCCTATTCACTCTCCCTCACAGCCTCTGATTTCAGACTTCTGAGGCTGATTTGCAATAGCCCGTGTGTGATCATCACCGGGCCATTGTGTTTTCCAGAGCACGTCGACTAATGGAGCTCAAAGCGTCCTTTTAAAGCGCCTCTTCGTCTGTGTCGGCAACAGGTACCCATGCCGGCTTCTGCATAATGTAAGGCTCCGACGGCGCTGCACTACGAGCCCAGAGAACAGCAGATCACAAAGGTTCACACATCCAGACTGCAAACCTTGTTATGTAAGTGCACCATAATCACAGGTGGCAGCTCACATATCCTTTGCATGCATGTGTCTAAATGAGAGGGTTTGGCCTTCCAGGGAGATGTCTGAGAGGGATTCACTGCTGCTTCCATGGCTACAGGTATAACACGTTTTTACTATTTTCAGACTAATAAGACTTATTGGAGCAAAAGGAGAGAGAGAAAGGTGGAGGAGGGGGATTTTGGCCCCCTAAAGGCTTTGGCTACACTCAGGCTATTATTAAACATGACTCCCCAAAAAAAGGGAATCTTAAAAATGTGGTTATGAGAGTAAAAATGGAAATTTAGTCTATAAAAACAGAAATAGTAACTGGAAATGTTGAAAATATTGATACTCAAAACATGAGTTCTTTCAATTCACCTTGTATTTCGTGAAGCTCTATTGGTTACACTCACTGAACGTCTAAGAGATCCCTCTCAACCAACAGATTTACAGAATGAAGCACAGTACCCAAGTGAGAAAGAAATGATAGAAGCACACAGAATACACACAAAAATAGTGACTTAGTAAAATGTCTCAAACACAACAATGGGCCCCTTTGCAAACATTACTAAAATCAGTCATGAAAAAATACGCAAATGAAAACCCAAATAATGTGAAAACTAAAAAAGTGGCACAGCGAGGGATTAAAAGAGCAAGAGCAGAGAAGCTGTAAAAAGAAAATGGTCTGAGATAGTGAGATCTCTCTGCTCCTGCCAGTCGTGTGCAGTAAGGTGTAATTTGCATTAATCAAAAAGGGCCTAAGAATAAACTCCTCACATTTTTACTGGTGATAGCGATAGTGGCATTTCATCTTTTACAATGAGGCAGAATCTGCACTGGAGATTTATTGACTTATTGCCGCTGACAGCTTAATATCTATTCATCACCATCAAGAAATATCATCTGGAGCACTTTGACACACAAAGAAAGACACATTTGAAAGATGTGATGTACTGATAGTAATTTTCATTCTTCTCCTAGTTAATGATACTGATCTATTCCTTATTTTGTTGAAGGGAAATGTTGAAACAATTGAAAGTGAAAGAAAAAAAGAACAGCTGTTGGGATGTATCTTTGACTCAGGAGACATGCTGTAACACTTCATCACAGTTTTGCAGCTGGTGTATATATTTACAGTAGGCCTAGTGTTTCAGGCTGGGCTAGATGTGAGAAAAATGGTTAAACTGACTGCATCCTTTTTCATACAACAGTTAACATCACAGAAAGTCACAGTGTTGAGTTTTTCCAGTATTCAGCCTGTATCCATGTTAAAGTTTCAAATGAACTATAACCACTCTCTGTCAGGACGATACTCATGAACCACAGCTACAAGTTATCACTGAGCATACACTAACCATATTATGACTATTGTAGGATAGAAGCCCTGAAGAGCCCCAAACTTTCTCGCCTCCTTCATCCCATCTCAACGTGTCGCTGAGCACCCAAATCACATTATCCCTGAGACCTTCTATCTGATGCAGCTATTTTAGGCTTCAGAGCCATTCCAGTTCATTTCAGTTTTGAAATCTACATTTCTTGTGAGCACATGATACTTATGGTACTAACAGAGGTCTTCTTGTTCTTTGGCTCATGACATGAGGTCTACACGTTTGTTCTGGCCGTGCAGAATTAACATCATACATGAACTTGATTGGGATTTGTAATTCTTTTATTCTAAATGATCGTTTTCATCAAAATCCTGCAGTGGAACTTTGACAATGACCTTCATTTTTTTAATAAGCTAAAAAGAATCTAATAAACACGAGTGAAAGAAACACTAAAGGGAGTCAGGGGAATTCACAGGAAGCACCAGGAAGTAAAACACAGAGCAAAGGAGATAAGGAGATTGGCACAACAGTCTAAGGCTGTGTCCGAAATGGATCCCTAACCCCTATATAGGTGACTATATGGGGGTTAGCGCAATTTTGAGGGGTGTCCGAAACATGAGTTATCAATTTCAGTGCCCTATATAGGCGACTCGAAATTTCCCATAATGCATTGCAAAATGTAGTGACCATCCGATGGTCACTCACCCGTGGGGGGCATCCCGTCATACATTGCCATGTATTGTCCGAAACCTCCGGTGATTGAGTTCACTACATAGTCAATTATATAGTGAAACTATATGGGGGTTAGGGATTGAGTGATTCATTTCGGACACAGCCTAAGAGTAGACTAAATACAAGTGGGGTAATCAAACATAAGTGTGACAAACGAGACACAGGTGAAAGTAATCAGGGGGCTGCTGCACTAAACCTAGGCTGTTTCTGAATCGGCCTACTGCAAACTCCTGCCGACCACAGTATGCAGTAGATACTGTAGATACTGCATACTGAGTACTGTGTTCGATAGTAGTATGCTGTATGACTGCAACGCAGCCGTTATTATGTAGTATGCTTGGCCAGCTTAGTGAATTTCTGGTATGGAGAAGAACATTGTACCCTCGTAAATTGCAACAACACTACAAAGTTGCCCATTCATTTACACACTGAAAAAAATCTTTAATGTGTATTAATTTGATTTTTCCGGGATTTTTTTAAGCCCAATGCCAGCCATCAAAACGTGTTCTGTCTATGCAATGACTCGCCGATCTGGCGGCATTAGCCTGGCTTTTAGCTCCAGACTAAGCTAACAGCTTCTACTCCAATATTTTATGCTTCAATTCAGTTGCCATGGTTTCCTGTACACTAACAAGGATGAAACATAGGGAGACATGTAACTGGTGATATGACCAACATAGACACTGCACTGCTGACTAACACTTGGTTTGGGTATCTGAGTGTGATGTAGACACTTCAGTGCAGAAAAATGTGGTGCGTTTGACAGAGTTGGACACTACAGCTTACCGCATAGATCCAACACAGAAGCATAAACCAGGCTTAACACTAACTTCCACTGCACACTTTTGAGCCAGAGCCCAGAGCTGTTAGTTTGTGAAAATGACAATCTGGCTCTATCTTCTTTCAGTGGAGCAGTGGCTCAAAAACGAGCATTTAAGGCAGGAAACACAGAAAAGAGCAACACTAAAAACTCAACTCGAGATGTAACCTGAGGAAAACCCACAGTAAATCAGGAAACACTTACAACTGCAACTTGGGAACATGAAAATGAAAATACACAAAAGAAGAAAAGGAATAAAAGGATAATACAAGACAACTCAATGACAAAAACACCAAAAGCAAAACACAAACTGGACAAGAATACCTCATGACACCCACAGCCTGTTTGTTTTGCCAGATGAACATTTATTTTCCAGCCAGGTTTGATACTGTCAGGTTTTTACTATAAAAGTGTTAAGGATTTGTTCAAGTAAACAACTCTTCCACAGAACCTGACACTTCATCACAGGAGTCAGGGCTGCATGTGGAGACGGAGAGAGAGGACGCTTTGATATAATGACAATAACTACTGCACTTAACAGCCCTCTTTCTATCCCTTTCTCCATCTCCAACTTACTCTGAAGGCCTATTCCTTCTTTCTTGAGACTAGGAAACGGGTGGTGACAGAGTATTGATCTCATAGCCATTCTAA